ATATTTGTAACCATTTTCTAAATTCTTTTATATATTTTAACATTTTTTGTTTTTGTGAAGCGCCTCGTGATTTTTATCTTGAGAGGTGCTATAGAAATGATATTTTCTTCTTCTTCTAGATGTTTAGCAAAACCATTATTTCTATCTGAGAGAAAATGTTAAGTCTGGGCTGTAAAAGAATTGGTTGTTGTTTATAAACTAGAGAGTTGTTTATTTATAAAAGTCATCAGACGCCATCTGTTATGTCTACTACTACATTGGTACGTCATATGTGGCGTGCCGATTTCTGGTTTGGAGTCATGCTAATTACAAACTTTTACAAGGCATGGTCGAAACACCCATCATTATTTTTCTTTTAAATTGCAGTACAACATCTGTGCGATCCAGAGCGTAAGGCAAAGTGGATTAGAAAATAGCGTTTTTTGCCCTGTTGACTCATTCATTTTTACATTCTTCTGTGGACCCATAAGCCGACCGGAAAGGGAGGAGACTTAAGCCGGGCGTACACTGTGCAACTTTTTCGCTCGTAGCACTTGGCTCCCTATAGAATGGTTATGGTTACACCCTATAGAAGGGTTACACAGCAGACGAGAGAGGAGAGATGAGGAAGTGCTGCAGACTATCAGCACAGCTGCTCCATTTTAAAATCAAGTCATTAATAAATAGTATTACTGCCACTCAAGATCATGTGAACAGAAACGTTTTTCAGCTTTCAGTTCACTTCAAGGAAAGCACCCAAAAAGTCCAGGTTTACTAAGGTTCCTCTTTCAGGTAAAAGGCTCTGCATTATCGGAGGATCTATGTTGACATCGTCTTTAATCTTTGTGCGCATGAGTGAGTGGCTGGGTGGCAAAAACAAACAGAGGCCCACTATCAATGCATGAACTAACTCAACAACCAGTAAAAGTGCTCAAACACACTGGCAGTCAGGGGTTTTCTGATCAGAAAACAGCTGGCAGTGACGAAGTAAAAAAAAAAATGTTTTCCCAATGAAGCACACCTTTAATCAACCCACAAGTGAATGCATCACTAAGAGTTAAAATATGCTAAATATTTTAAAGGAAATCCAGTTTTTATAACAAAACTAGAAACTTAAGAGCTGCTTTGATCATTTCAAAATGACGGTCATTGTGCCATGGTTACTTAATTAGAAAAGCTTCTTCTGGTAGGCATGTTTTAGAGAAATTAATATAAAAATTAATTATAAAAAATTACCTCACTAAAAAGCTGCCAGAAGCTTTATTTCTAATTCTGCTTTTATCATTTAATGCCATGAACGAACACATAAAATAGCTTAAATTTAGAGGTGGAATTTATTTAAGCTGAACTATTTTCTGTGTTTTTAGTGCATTTCCCCACAAAAATTACTATTTTTTTATTCAAATCATCTAAAGATTTAATTTAACCTTAAATGTAATTCAAACAAAGAACTTTCTTCATGCAAAGTTGAATTTAGAGGACAATCTGTGTCACAAACTGGAGATGTTTGGTTTTTCCAGTGAAGGTCACGACGTTGACTGTAGCCTTCTACTGAGATATGCGAGTAAACCAACAGCATATCAGCTACAATGTAAATCATGTCTTTTGAAATGACACTGCTTTCAAAAACAAATTGTAAAGTTTAATATTTTTCATTTTAAAGTAAAACAAGTGAATGACAGAATGTTAAAAATGAAGCTAATCTCAATTCACAGGAAGACAGAAAAGTCAAGCCAAATATTCTGAAAGAACATTCACGCTGTAATTAAGAATTTCAGATGAACAAACTAATTACTGCAGGTATAACGTGTATGCTACAAAAATAAAATCCTTTTAACAATAGTTAAAAAAAAAAAGAATACAGAAAAAATGTCATGACAAGAATTTTACTTAAAGCAACGATGTACACTTGCAGTGAAGAAGCATCATATGGGCTTTTTAAATGCATTACAGAAGCTTGGGCTGCCACATTGCTTCAACTAAACCAAGTAAGACGATATTTTCACACAACTGATTCTTTAAGTTTGCCTGTTTAATGATATTGAAATATATTTTACAGTTCAAAGATTCACCAAATAAAAGAATCTGTGTACATGTCAGAGGAAAAATTGGGTAAAGAAAAGAAAAATGTGGCCGGCTAATGTGTTTCATCAGGGATCAAGTTTACATAAAGGGCTGCGATAGTTCTTTTATGAGAAACTATTATTTTTTTGTATTCTTGAGTTTTTTTCCCCCCGTCTACAACCAACCTACACTAAAGTTTACATTTTTAGGACTCGGAGTTATCCTTTTCTTCGTCTTCTTTCTCTTTTAGCTGCAGGAACTTGGCCATGTGTTCAAGCCGTACGGAGCCCCGGTGGATCCACTCCTTTTCTCCACCCTCCTGTGTGACAAATTAAAATGCAGAAATAATTCATGTGTTAATGTGTTTGTGATTTTTCTAAATTGTAGGCCACTGTGCTGTGACACTTATCATCTGCGGCAATTGAATATTTTAGTATTTGAATATTCCGCCGAATCCTCCATCGATTAATCGAATATTCTATCTGACGACGTTTCAAGTGAAACGAGATTGTAGTCTGCTGCTAAGAATATGAACATGAAACAACTAAATTATAAAAGGGTCAACAATATGTATTAAATTGGCCTCTATCCCAGCTGATATTTATAGTTAATAAATATTTTATGGAACAAATTTTGACTTATATTTCATTAACATTTTAGGTTTGTATTAATGTCACTAATATTAGTCAAAATAATATCTAAATATATACATAATTCAGTAGAAAGCTACTAGAAATTCTAATAAAATACAACTAGTAGCAATGTAATGGTGGCATTTCTATTTTATTACTAGTTCTGATTGGCAACATAATGTATTCAAATACAGAAGCGTTTGTGAATCACATTGAAATGAATTGAGGAATTTAATTAATCAAACCTTAAAATGAGTTGATGATTTGTTTCAGCCCTAATTATAAAACATGAAACTCCTGAGTTTAATAGAAAACAACTGGACTTGGTTCAGTTATCCTGAAGACATTTCACCTCTCATCCAGGAAGCCTAATTTATACTTCTACGTCTGCGTGGGTACGGAGACACGCAACACCAATAGGAGTGTATAACTCCTCGGTTTAACTGGTACGGGCATTATCCTGTTACACAAGTACATGTAATATTCAGTTCAATACTTGTGCAAGATCGGTTTTAACGTGTGTTCCTTATGCTGCATAGTTCTGGAACCCAAGTTTCATTTTTATTTATGGCTTTTAGTGGTCAAAAGTTACAGTAATATAGCTTACTTCCTTAGCATTATTATTTTTCTTCAAATTACACTCCAAGTGTTTGTGCTGCTGTAACAAGGGAATTTCCCCACTGTGGGATCAAAAGTCTTTTCTATTCTATTCTGTGCTGGCGCTAGGGCTCTCCAACATGCCCGACCTTTTAACCATACATCAAATCTGCTGTCCTAGCAGGGCAAGAGGACATTGTTATTATTACTGAGGCCATCAGGGTCACACGAGTCTCTGGCCCTGCCTTCTTTACAGTTCCCTGTTTGTGTTGTTGGAGCTGACGATGTATACTTCTCCGTCTGAGGGGGTGGAAACGTAACATTGTCATCTCTTGACCCAAGAGCTCTGTCAAAGATATCTAGCAGCAGACAAAGCAGACAGAAGAACGTCTCTCGGTAGAAATCTGAACATGTACATATATATGCAAAATACAAATACACTACAAATACACACACACACTGGTGGTGATGAGCTACGATGTGGCGACAGCTGCCCTGGGGCGCACTGACGGAGATGAGGCTGCCGAACACAGGCGCCACCGGTCCCTCCGACCACCACCAGCAGGCAACGCGGGTCAAGTGTCTTGCCCAAAGACACAACAGCAGCATTCTCTGGTCATAACTGGGATCAAACCTGCAACCTTCCAATTACTGGACAACCCACTCTACCTCCTGAGCTAATGCTGTTCCTTACAATGTCTTGTATGTAGCAGCCGTTTCTCTAAATATTACAACTTCATATTAACATGACTGTATTCTTACTTCCTATATTTTCTTATCTCTTATTTTTATCTTCCTTTGTTGCAACAAGTACCGCAGCAATTTCCCGATGTTGTGATTCTCGCACATATAGCAGCAAAACCTTCTGATTCTGAAGAAAAGTCCAGTCCAGTTGTTTTCAGTTCAGCTCTCGAGATGTGACACTTTGAATGCAGCTGATACTGTCACCTACTGATGAAATGAAGGTGTTACTCAATTTATAATTTAAAGTACTTATCTTTAAATATACTGTGTTAATCCAAATACATTAATTTAACCATTTATTTTACAGCAAGTTCTATTTCCATTTGTTACTGGTGCCATTTGTAATAAGTGAGAGAGCACAGCTCAACTGGTACAAAATGGACTTTTGTCTGGTCTGGGCGATAGCTTTTGTATTTGTTTTCAATGGTTTAAAAAATGGATTCAACCATGAGTCAACTGTCCCACATTTTCCCCACTTGCTGCAATACAAAGATCCTTTTTTATACTTTGATTGCTCATATGACCCATCTCTACGATCCACCAACAGTGGGCTGCAATTTGGATTGTTTTTTAATTTTATGGTTCAGTATGTGCTGCTCATGGATACTGATAATACAATAAAATTAAATAATACTGATACTGACCTGAAAAACAACTTGAATCAAGCTGCAATCCACCACTTCTACGGTGCACACCTGGAGGCTCCCATTTAGCTCGACATTAATGCTCTGACCTTCCTTATAGTGAGTCAGATGTGGGTACGGCCAGTTCTTCAGATACTGTTTCATAAAACACTTGTGAGGGCTGTCTGGGATATCGTCTAAATTATCTTCCACTGTTAAAAAAAACAAACAGTCAAATCTTATGGTTTCTTATGTCATCTACACACTCATAGATCAATGGTAGGACTAATGGGCAACGAGTTCAAAGAGTGTTTTTTGGTTGTTTAGTCTTTAAAGCCCTGTTAAACTGACATTTTACATTTGTTCAGTCAGAGCTGCAGTAAAAATGAACAAACTTTTACCTTTTAATAAGATTTTCATGACAAACCATTACCAGGACTTTCCATCAGATGCGTATCGCAGTGACACTTTTTCACGGCGACATCTACGGCGCGACCCTTTCTACCACGAGCACTAAACAATAGATCACAGTTCAGGACTGTGTCACATACTGTAATCTAACGAATGTGTAACTGTGTCACAAACTGCTGTAAGACCAGGTAGTTCAGACGCACACTGGCTTTCACAGGATCACAGATTTGCAAGATCACTCATGATTTCATCAGTTCACACAGTAACAAGCGAGCAGAAACACTGCAGCATGTATCCTAATGGTCTGTGATTAATTTTCAGCTCTATTTACCTCCACCAAGGTGGTGTCACAGGTAATGAATACTTTGTTTATATTTGAGCAATAGGAAATCTGCTTGTGTCTTTTATTTTGAAATTTGCCAGATGCTTTACGCTGCTTCTGTGTTTGATTTCCTGTCTGGCGTGATCTGACCTGCTCAGATTGATGTGTTCTGGAAGCGTGGCGTGTAAACAAAGACCCAGCGGCGCATAAATTTAGCAGAAAGTTGCAACCCTGCGCTTCTAGAACATATCCAAAATGCACCGCTGTGCACCCTGTAGAAACTAACCTATTGATTATAACAGCAGCCATTAGCTTAAGCATGTGGTGGAAAGTCAGGGTTAAACGGGACTAGCAAGTGATCAACCTCCAACAACAATGAATACAACATAAGCACATTTACTAAAAACAAGATGACTATGCTTACTAAGTAGCTTTGTCATGAAGAAAATCAAAGTGATCTGTGAAAAATAGGAACATGCTGCAAACTTACGTGGTCTGCAGACAAGGTGAACTGAAGGTAAGCTTGCGTAAAGTGACGTGTGATCATCCAAAAACACCAAGAACCTGAAATGTTATGAATGCAGAAAGAAAAAAACTTCAGCCTTGATTTGAAATACTTTTATGTCAAACGTGTTAGCTATTGTTTAAAGTCAAACACACCTTAAGCGGTTCTTTCTGCTGGGGAGCTCAGACAAGATACCAGGCTGAAAGCATTGTGCATCATCTGGAGACTGAATGACAACACGGGCACCCACATAAAGCTGCTCTAGCTTGGGTGCATCCGCGAAGGCCATGTGGTGACCCGACACAAGGCTCTTCCCTTTCTCATCAAAACACACCTTGTACTTTGTTCGTCCATCTTCTGCAAAAATGAGAATCGCAACAAAACACTCTTATTTTACTGCAGTTTGGAGGTTATGGAAGAACAATTAAGTGGTCTCTAATAGGAATGAATGCCTTGGAAGTCATAGGTGAAAAAATGCTCAGGTGCGCCTGTTTCAGCACGGAGGACTCGGGTGGAGGAAAAAGTAGCTTCAGACGACGGGATTTGGAGTCTTAATTTCTATTATTTAGACATCTCACCTCCAACTGGATAACAGCAACATGACTGGACCACTGACTAGTTTGCGTTGAATAGTTGATGTTTTATCTCTACAAAAAACTCAAACCTTCCCCTTCAAGAGCCAAGATGGGTGAGTCTGAACGACAGCTTGACAGAGTGGTCAGGCTTTTCAAATTCTAGCATTTCATTGTCTATTTTCTATCAGAAGCTAATAAAGGAGACAGGTGTAGGAGACTATTTTCATGTTCAGCCTAGATGGAAAAACTCAGATTCACTGATTATTCTCAAAAATAATAAGTATATAACTGCTTCTCAGAAAAAGACCTCTTTAATGTGTATATGCTTTTTCTTTTCTTTTACCCCTTGCAACAATCTCCACGATCTTTCCTCGTTGCCACCTCATGGCTCTTCTTCTGGCCAGGACCATCATGTCTACTGTGACCTCTACCTCTGGCAAATCAGGGCGGACCTTGGTGGTTTCGTTAGAGGAATGGGCAAATGCAGATGACACAATAATGGGCCCGCTCTCAGCTGTGTTGGAAGAGAAAAGACAAAAAAAAAAAAAAAAAAGTGCATACAATGTGAAATCGACTATTTGAATGGATCAATGGAGGTGAGCTCATACAAGTGTTAGACTGTCCCTACCAATCTTGTTGCTGTTGTTGGAGTTGCTGCTGTTATTTTTCATCACTGGTGAAGAAACTCTCTTCAGGATACTTTTAGTGTTTTTAAAATTTTTCTTTTTTTTCCCCGAGGCTACAAAATCTGAATCATCAGAATCCTCTCCCGGTTCCCACAGCATGTCGGAATCCGAGCTGCCGCGGGACTCGGCTTCACTGTAGAACTGCTGAGGTGTTGGCGGCTGGAGGGCGCTGACTGTGTTTTCAGGGAGTCTTGTCAAGAGGACCACAGGCTTTTTTTTAAGAGTAGGAGAGTCTAGGATGTTTTCACACCGCCTCATCTTCCTGGGTACTTCATTCGTGAACAGAGCGGTATTATCGTTGGATTCGAACAGATGTTCTGTGGGAATAAGACGTAAATGAAATGAATTTGCAGCAAACAGAAAGCATGAAAACAGCCATTAGACACGTCCTGGTGTAAAGTATCAGATCAGGGTTCTGATCAAAATATTTAGCTATTGATCAGATGTGCAGCTGCTGTACCACTCAGTGGTGGCACCAATATGTGAGATATGGAAGATTTATAATTCTCTTTAGATAGATATTGCTAATGTGTAATACTAAAAAAATACATCATGCAAAAATCAATTGATATTATTTTGCACAGACCTGTTTCGATTTTTATCTCTCCATTGTTTTTAATCGTCACTGTCTCCACCTCACACTCATCCACCTCCATGGCCACTGAAAAACACATATGCAGTAAAATGTGTCCACAGGTTAAATATTATAATTTATTTATATACTGACAAAATCTGAATCTATTTGCTATAAAATTCCTGTGACTGCGTTTTTTCTTTATTCAAAGGACAGCCATTACGAATAACTGCCTTGTACAATCAAAGCTTTAGCAGGTCAGCCCTACTGAACAGCGCTACTTAAAACATTTCAGAAACTTAGGAAAATCATTTACTGTTGTTATATAATATTCACTTGAGATTTACATCATAACTGGAAATGTGCGTTTCTGTTTACGTTTAAAGAACAACTAAATAAATAAATAAATCCCGATTCTTATTACTGCGCTGATTAATTTTCGGAAGAACTAAAAGCGTAACAGATTCTTTCCCTCCCAAAAACTGAAGTATTGTCAAATCTTGCATGATTGACCACAACTGTATAATCCTGAATATTCAACCACGTTGGTCGTATGTGTAGCCGTTGTCACGTAACACGATTACTACAGAAATGGTGTAGAAATAATCAAAAATAACATTAAGTGAGCTTGAAGAGAAGCATACAAACATTAGAGAAGTAGACGCAGCAAACTTGAATGTTATTTTTGTATCGCTGATGGTAGCGATTTTGTGGTTAACCGTAGGGCATGCTAAAGCTTTGTTACGAATGGCCCAAACTTAAAAGGCGCTAAAACCTTAACACGTCGATCAAACATCGAAGCTCACCTATCGCAAGGTCTCGAATTTCTCCTTTAAATAAATAAAAACGATCCGGGCTGCGCTGATTTGCTAAAACAAGTAGGATGCTGATCAAACCAACATTACCTAGTTGTTCTAAATTATCTTGTAGCTATAAGGGTTAGCCTACATTCGAGCTCACGTTTTCTTCTTTGTGCGTGGCAGCTTGTAAACATCCAACTGACGCATTACCGCCACCCAATGGACTAGAGTGGAACTCAGCCAACAAAATGTTATCTTCCTTGGAATGTAATTTAAAGGGATTTGTGAAACAATATTAGCCTTAGCCTTATTAAAATTGGATAATTTAGTTTAAATTTAGAAATTAATTTAATATGTTTTCGATATTCTGAGGACTGACGTGATGTAGGATTATTTGTATTCAGGCAAATTTGTAGCCGCTCCGGGTCCTGAACCACAATTGCATAGGTCAGGATTCGTTGCAGTGCAGTCTCCTTCAGCTCGCCCTCCAGCCGGTGACGCCTGTCTGTGCCGTGTGTTGTGAGGAACATCTCAAATAAAGTCATTTAGTTCATAACTTGCACCATCGTCACCTGGTAAGGCTCAAACGTTTATAGTTTAAAATTATAGATCTTCTTTAAAACATGGATTTATGAATGTTTAGGAAGTTTTGATGCACACCGGCACTCTGGATGCTAGCAAAGCTAACTGTGGTTGCTGTTAGCTGCATGCTGTGTCTGACAGCAAATTATCGGGTATTTAAAAAGCGGGTAGTTACATCAGAAGGCTAATTGTAGCAGAAAAGCACGTGTCATTGTAAATTAACACTAGAAAACGTTAATGGGAACTGAATCAACGTATGTTAACTTTTCTGTGGCCTAAATGGTGCACTGGTACGCAGCCGTTACCCATTGCGGGTGAACAGGTTGTTTGACACATGCCTTGTCATGCCTAGCTGTGACTGGCAGCTCATGTGTAGTAATACTCCAGCAAGGGCTAGTACAGTATGAAAGTAGCTCCTCCCTTCCGAGTCAACCTTGTCAAACTTCTGGAACTACTGGAATGCGGCAGCTCATGCGGAAGTGTTCCAGCTGAACATTGAAAGTAAATGTAGACATTAAAATATATTTTATATCTTGAGTCCATTGTCAAGTAACCTGATCTATTTTCACATGGAAAGGACACGAAGCTGGTGACCTTTTTGTTTCGTTTTCACATAGACCAGTCACAAGATGTTCAACCAGAGAGACCATTTATCTGGGCTACAAAGTTTTATTAACCACAAGGGGAAACTGTGTTGTACATTTATAACTTAAATGTAGAACATATTTTATTAATTTCCCCAAACCTGAAATCAAACATATAGACTGGGATTATTTTTTAATATTGTTAAAACTAGTGATGTACCAATATGAAATTTTTGGGCCGATACCGATATCCGACATTTAGATTACCGTTATGGCCGATAACCAATATTTTCCGATACTGGTATACCGACTTTATTGCTTCTAAAATCAGCAGATTTTGTACAGAATGAAAATGATTTAAGCTGAATTTACATTATTATGTACACACACCTCACTCATTTACGGTTCTGAGATGATTTCATTCAATGTTCACGTGACTAAACAATTACACATCACCCCCTCACCCTCTGAAACAGGCAAACAAATGGAGACGGGATGGAAAAAATACCGGTTAATATTGGCCCAGTTTTATTTGTCGGACCGATACAGATATGTAAAAAAATTCCTAACATCAGTCGATATTGATGCCGATATATTGTCCCTCCCTAGTTAAAATAATTACTAGGGATGTAAGAAAATATCGATATGGCAATATATTGTGATATTTTTCCTGCATATTATATAAATATTAAAAAGTCGTGTATCTAGTTTTTGGAAGAATTTACATGCAAACATTTGTGTATTTTCTTTTCTTTTGGTGCAATTCAAACGCCAACAGCTAGTTGGCAGCAGTGTGCAATGGGTTTTGTTTTCACCATTAAAATGTAAATCCCTCTATTATAGTTCAGATACCTCATTTTAAACATGTTAATTATCAGTTTGGACTGTTTATTAAATTTTCCTACAATAAACTCAGTCGAAAATAATCACTAATATTGTCTGGCTGAATGTATCTCAATGTATCGTGATATATTGTATCCTCTCCCCTGTATCATGATATGTATCGTATCGCCAGAATTTCACCAATGCATATCCCTAATAATTACAAAGTTTTCATAAATCAATAGCTTTTGCATATTACGACTTTAAAGTGGAGCAGCTTCATGCGTTGAATGAGTAGTACATTTTAAATCCAAAAATCCATCCTTGTTGCCTCCCAACACCTGTGCCAGTATAGCTGTAAAAATATTCCTGTTCAGTTTTCTGTGAACATCCTTTTTTTTTGTTTTCAGCTGTTAACCATATTATGCATCTCACATTCAGATATACTGACATTTCACCAATTAGTCCCATTATTTCTTAGTGTTGTTTTATTGCAAGCTGTTTGAATGTCTTTTTATTGAAGTAAAGTATCACTTTGTACTTTTCTTCCGTTTACAGTTACAATGGCCGTGCCTCCCACATACGCTGATCTGGGCAAGTCTGCTAAAGACATCTTTAACAAGGGCTATGGTAAGATTCACAGTTGCTAACTATAAATCAAAACTACATATGAAAAGGTTTTAACTAAAGTTATTCCCACAGGGTTTGGCATGGTCAAACTGGATGTCAAGACAAAGTCAGCCAGTGGAGTGGTACGATCAGTTTTCTTTTTTATGTTGATGCTCCAAAATCGACCAGTTTGAGCTATATTCACAAAAGCCTCAAGGCAATTTTTTTCATGTATTCCATGTTTATTTCATCCGTGCTTGTCTTATGATCGCCATCTCTCTAAAATTGTCTCCTACAGGAATTCAAAACATCTGGTTCCTCCAACACTGATACCAGCAAAGTTGCCGGCAGCCTGGAAACCAAATACAAGCGACCAGAATATGGTCTGACCTTCACTGAGAAGTGGAATACCGACAACACCTTGGGAACTGAAATCACTGTTGAAGATCAGGTTTGAATCATGTTTTTAGTGAAGAGAGGTCACCAAGTGTGTTCATTTTGAATCAAACATGAGTGTTTGTTTGATTTTTATTCAGATAATTTGTGTTTTTGTGTCTATAGATCGCAAAGGGACTGAAGTTGACTTTTGACACAACCTTCTCCCCCAACACCGGGTAAGATTATGGTGAAAATTAGGTTAATGTTGGTTTTACCTAAGTATAGAGATGTAGAGTTTGCAGTCTGTTTCCTCTTTCTCCGTGAGTAATCATGGAAACCTGATCTTTGCTGCACATACTTTTAACAAGTGTCCCTTCCACCCATGTGACCCAAGTCCTTGTATGGAACTAGCATGTTGCACCTCTTTACTGGGACTGCCTATCTGTTTGTATGTTGGGCTGAGAAACAGAAATTGTGTGAAGTAAAGCCAGACATTAGTCTGCATCAATCTTTTTACTCTCAATTTTCCCTTGAGTTTTACAAGACTTAATTTTCTCCTCAACAGAAAGAAGAGCGGTAAAGTTAAGACGGCGTACAAGCATGAGTACGTCAATCTGGGTTGTGATGTTGACTTTGACTTTGCGGGCCCAACGATCCACGGAGCGGCTGTGGTCGGCTACGAGGGATGGCTCGCAGGCTATCAGATGAGCTTCGACACTGCCAAGTCCAAAATGATTCAGAACAACTTTGCCATCGGCTACAAGACAGGGGACTTCCAACTACACACTAATATGTAAGTAGAGAGTTCTAAAATGATGCATTTGCAGTAATTTTAGAATAAGCCGTTATTTTGGGACAATATAAAGCAATAATAGTTTAACCTAAGGTGGGGCTGGTCAATATGGACCAAAACTTATATTTCTATCTTTTAGCTGAATTCTGATATAAGATCTACTGTACATCCATATACACCAGCACGGGCACTCCGCTCAGACAGTAGTCTCCTACTCACAGTTCCTAGGACTCATTTAGAGACGAGAGGAGACAGAGCTTTTTCCGTGGCAGGCCCGAAACTCTGGAATGAGTTACCTTCTAATGTGCGTGCTTCACCATCTGTGACAGTGGCCTTTACCTGTGGCCGTTAGTCTGCTTGTATTTTCTTTTATTAGTGCAATTTGTATGCTGTATTTTTTTTCCTCTTCTAGTATTTGTTTTTATTCTTGTTTTAATCCTTGTCCTGGTATTACTAATACATGTCTGTCTGTACAGCGCTTTGGTGTCACCCACGTACCTGTAAGGAGCTTTAGAAATAAAGCTTGAGTTGAGCTGACTGAAATAGATTATTTTGTATGAACATGGACTAAGAAACTAGTTTTGCATGAAAGATGTTCTCAAAATATTTTCATCTAGGAAAATATTAGAACTTTAAACTGTGTCCCTGTGAGCTAAAGGCAAACAAGAACTCCACAACCTCTTTATTCTAGTTGACGGCTTTTTCTGTGTCAACCTTCCAGCAATAACGGAGCTGAGTTTGGTGGCTCCATCTATCAGAAGGTCAGCAACCATTTGGAAACCGCAGTCAGCCTGGCGTGGACCGCTGGCAACAATAACACACAGTTTGGTATCGGGGCCAAATACCAGCTGGACAAAGATGCCTCCATCAATGTAAGTTTTCTCGGGCAGTGATAAAGGCAACAACAAATAATTTATTTTCACAGACGATTGACTTTTTTTCTTGTTTGTTTAGGCTAAAGTGAACAACAATAGTCTAGTTGGTGTTGGCTACACTCAAACTCTTAGACCAGGTATGTAACCTCTTTCTTTAATGAACATGTTGATGATGGTGATGATGGTAATTTCTGTTAAATATAAAACAACATAGAGAGAAGAAAAATAAATAATAATAATTATACAGAACATGTTCCAACACCCTTCAATTCCAGTTAGTATGGATGACTTTAAATCCAGCAGGAGCATTTATTTCATATGCAGTCCACACTTCTCATGTTCAGATATGTTTTAGACCAGGGATCTTCAATCCAGGGCCCTTATTTAGCAAACACTGGTTGAAACTTTCCTATTTTCTATCCTACGAATGAAATTTAGAATGTTCATACGCACGGCCAAAATTCTGATTGATGGAACACAAGGTGGCTATTCGTACACGCGTTCATTAGCAATCGACTGATAAATCCTACATCAGTTGCTCGTGCCCATCCACAGTCTGTGGATCCATATACGCCCTCAAGTACCCATATTTGGTCTCACATCATCTAAAGCTCATGCAGGACATCCCTGTGTTCTTCCTGAAAACGATGGCCAAGAGAGAAGACGACGATCTTTTATATAGCGCCCCTCAAGATAAAAATCACGAGGTGCTTCACAAAAATAAAAACAAAGTTAAAGTATAAAATGATTTGAAAAATTATTAAAAATGTGTTTAAAAGGAGAAAAGACAAATAAAATGAAAAGGAAAGAGGGAAATCAATGGATGCCGAGAAAGGCGGAGTAAGAACAGAATAAGGAGAGGGTGGTGACGAAGGTCACACCAAAGCCAGCTTGATCAGGGGTCTCATTTATCAAACATTGCGTAGAATCCTTACTAAAACCGTACTGAAGCTGAGCAAAAAAAATGTACTTACGCCAAGTAGGTTTGTGATCTATCAAACATGGAGTACGCACAGCTGCACGCAATCTCCGCCTCATAAATCAGAGACTAACGATAAACGTTCTCAGCTGCTTTTTAGTCACATCCCACCCTCACCATGCCCACTTACTGCCATAAATGGTCAATGCAAAGTGCCTTGTGGATCTCATGCATATACATAAGCCAGCTGTTGCAGCATTTCGATCATGACCGCAGATCAAGGAAGAGCTATTTCACAAGCAGAAATTGAGGTACTCGTGGGTGAGGTGGAGAAATAAAATGAAGTGTTTTTGCAAAACAAATAAGAGAAAATCCACGGAGTGGCTCAGCGTTGCTGACGCTTTCAATGTTGTGAATTCTTCAGAGAGATCTGTGGCGGGTATAAAAAAAATGGTCCAATCGGGATTTGATCCCCAGACTTCCAGGTGAAAGTCACACGAGCTAACCAGTCAACCAAACATAGATTTCCCTTGTCCAAGTAGCCAGGGCGCATGATCAATCGGGTCACAGTGACGGGACACTCAGGCTGTCACAGACGCATGACATTCTGTCTCAATCTGTGCCCCTGCTGATTAGGGTTGTCATGGTAACCGGTGTAGCGGTAAACCCCGGTAAAAAAGTTGACAATAATAACAGTCTTGTTTTTTAAAAAATATATTATCCCGGTGGATTACCGTGGCTGCAGTGTAGGCGCGGTGACCCTTACCAGCCACCGTATCATCTGCTGAAGTTGCCGGCGGCACATGCGCACTTTGTTGTTTACGACCAAAACTTTCTTGAAGCTAAAGCTGAAATAATGGCCAAAGGAGGAGACGGCAGCGCTCAGGACATTTATTATCCCTCAAAGAAGACAAAGTGGGAAGTACGGGCATCTTTTGGATATTTGAAGAATGCTGAGGGACAGTTGATGCTTACTCAGTTTTCCGACCCCGTTTTGTGCGTAAGCAAGCTTGATAAATGAGGCCCCAGGTGAGTTTTCAGCAGCTTTTTTAAAGGAGACCACTGAGTCCACTCTCAGGCTCAGGGGGAGAGCGTTCCAGAGTCTGGGCCACAGCAGCAAATGATCTGTCACATTTGGTCTTGAAAGATAGAAGAAGGAAGAGCGATAAAGGGAACTGACATGTGAATCCAGGGTGAGAGCTGGGTCAGAGGTCACATCAAGATTCCTGACAGATGGTTTGGTATGAGAAGAAAGATCACCAAGAGTCTCTGACTTTTACCAGCTGGAGAGCACAAAGAAACTTTGGTGACGACAAGATCGAGGAACTGGTTTCTTAAGCAAACAGTGCTTTTTGGATATAACGGCTCAGGGGGAACCAGTAAAAAAATTCTCCTTGGACAAATTGGCAGAGGAGGTAACGCAGTCAGGGCTTAGGAGAGGTCCCTGTCAGAAATGAAAGGGAAGAAAATGGTTCGACATAAAACTGAATACATAAAATGTTTTCATAATGCAGTTCAGTGATGGTTGTGAGATGTCTGATCTGTCTTGTCTCATGGTGGAACGTCCTAGTCACAAAGTCACTCAGTCGTGAGCTGAGGATGTAACATGACCAAATATGGTTAATTTAAGGCGTTCCTGTATGTAAATGACAGCGAAAGGACACAAGACACCATCCCACAGGTGGGATTTATCATCAGCCAATTGCGGAGGAACGTGCATAGGAGAGGCCACCGTATGTGTCATAAATCAGGATTTTGATCGGTCATATGAACATTCTGAATTTTGTTCATAGGAATAAATGGGAATATTTCTATGAATGTTTGAATGAGGCCCCTGGTTATTGAACCAGGTGTGTTGGAGCAGGGAAACAACTAAACATGCTGTTAAACCCTGTTTTAAATGTATGAATGCTGATGGTTGTCTCATTTGTTCATGCAGGTGTGAAACTCACCCTCTCTGGTCTGGTTGATGGAAAGAACATCAATGCTGGCGGTCACAAGTTGGGCCTGGGCTTAGAACTCGAAGCCTAAGTGTTCCATATGCTTGAAGGGAAATGGAGAATATCAAGAATCATGTCCAACTCAAACCAGCAAAAGGAAATCATGGAGAGAGAGCGATTGGTTCAAAGGCTACAGCAACAAACTAGTACCATTTCAAAGTGGTGCTTTTGTCTTTGGTGTATTTTACCTGTTGTTGCTTTTTATTTTGCCGTTGCATCCACTCAAAAGATGCTTCTTTGGGATTATTTATGAATCGTATAATTTTTCTTGTCCCATCTTTTCCACCACCGCCAAATGAAGTTGATTATTACTAATTCTGTGGAATGTCACCGGCTCTGTGACCTTTTTGATCAACGTCCCAAACACTCCAGTTTTACGTGAGTTCCACATATCTTAATGCTGAGGGTTGCCATGCTATCTGATACTTACTATTATAATCATGTGATATTCCTGACCATCCACCAGTTCTCATTTCCAGAAATTTAGAAATACACTAAGCTTTTTCTGTTATTTGAAACTTCTTTGTCCTCCTTGCTCACGCAGACGAGGACACACTGAAGTTTGGTTTTACGTCGGTTGTTGGGGTTTCTGACATTTTGCAGCTGCACAGGTGACCTCTTAAACTCTGTGGCATTTTCTAGGGCTGCTTAATGTTGGATGTAAATGTTTAAAGACAAATGCACGACTGGTTGACCTGGTAGAATGAGGTTTTGTTTCTTCTGCAGTAACCAACACCTAGGAACCACTGACCTGCAATGCGTAATGCCAAACTAAATTTCTTCAAAAGGAGGTGTAACTTAAAGTTTCTCTTGTGCACTGATAAGCTGCATCCTTCTTCTGGGTGGGGACTGATGCCAGTGACATTGTGAATGCGTATGTACACATTTTCAATAAAGTCTTGGAACTCCACCAATGCATTTTGATGTGACGTTACCGTGGTGTTTCTTCAGTAGGTTTCTGAAGACTGGGATATATTTTATTGCCGTTTATGCTCCTGACACAAAATCAAAGAGATTAGTGACTTGTCCGTTCTAACTTTTAGGGTAATCTGTGTTTGCACAGTACAGTAGAACATATTTAAGGTCTTGATGTAATCTGTGATCATCTGGAATGGCTTTACTGAGCATGGACCATGGGTTAGAAAAATTGGTTAACTGTCAAAGGATTTCAGCAGATCTGAGCTCGCTTCCTGTGGCTGTTTTGAGCTGCGAGTACCACAGTACTTCCTGGTTGGCCCACTTTTGGCCTGCCACTACTTTTGACAGCAGATTTTTGACTTAACACAAGATTTGCTACGACCCACCACAAGGCGTTACAAAAGGATCTGGCCTGCCACGAGATTTCCTACAAGACTTGACCAGCTACGATGAAGCTGCCACGATGTTCACCACAGACTATCCTTGCAATGACAGTTTATTACTTTTCCGAGAGTTGCTCTGGCACCCTCATTTTTTAAAATGTTATTAAATCTGAAGCACTCAGAGAACATACAGCAATATGTTCAGGGAACATAATCACGTAAAAGAAAAAAACAGTGTAACATGGAGATGGACGACACAAGGTAGGTTTCATTCACAGCTTTAGTCATCTCAACACCGAGTTCTCTGTATTAGTCATTAAAAGCAGTCTCCATTCATTTACATACAAACCTGCTTGGCTCAGGCAGCAAGGCGTCAACCATATTTACATACACAAAAACTGCTTTGCACAGGAAGAAGCAAGGTGTCAATATTTACTCACAGTTTAAAGAACTGGGTATGAGTGTAGCCTCTTTGTGTCCCCGTCCCCCCCCCCCCCCCCGTAGTCTATTTAGCTTGTTCAGACGAGGGAAATATTGTTTAAAATAATATAATTCTGAACTGTCGTGTCAGCCTGGTATCACAACATTTTCCATGGCATTTCTGGGTTTCCACTGTGGATGACACCTTTTCAAAGACATGCATCACAACATTAAACATGAAATCACAGTTGGCATGAGTGTAATTTGTCTTTACCATGATTTAACAACCATGCCATACGAGCTGATAAGTTTAGTGTTAAAGTTAGCATAAAGTGGTGCTTGTAATTTCGCCACGGTCCTCGTTCAATGTTCTTGTGCATTACCGCCACTTTGTAGCTTGGCAAGCCATCTTATATATGTTTGATATATGTATAAATTAAAGCAAAATCATTTTGCTTCAACAAATGATGGTTTAGATTCTAGGCTAGCCACTTAGTGGATTGATTTGTGTATCATAATATATAAGATTGCTTACTTCCAATGTTAACTAGTTACATAACATTATTGTAAATAGGGTATACCTGTGCTGAAATCAATGAATTAAAATGAATATTGTTCCTACAATGATTCATTTATTTCACAAATCAGTATGCGTTGATTTAACATTTTAATCAATGTTTACACTCATACACATTACAATAAGATACTCATAAAGGTTAATATTCACCTTACATAAGAGTTTAAGGATTATCATTCACAAAGTGTTAAAACTCTTTGTATCTGAAGAAGGTGTGGCTTTCTGAGGGATGCTGGTAAATACTCAAAAACATGTCAAATTCTGATTTGCCAAATTTGGCCAAAACTCATAACATTGTGGTTTATCAAAACAAGAATTACTTCCCGATTAACTCAGTTTCTAGCTGACTCGAACCGGCCAATTCGGGAACAAGCATCTTCGAGACGTCTCTTTTGACATACAGTCAAATGCCTCTTTGCACGCTGCAAGCTGACACAGCCAGACGGCTTTTTTAAGAGCCAAACATCATCCTTGGATGCAAACGAGCCTTCTAGCTTCTTGTTGTGACTTGGAGACCACTCAAGATTGGACGGGTCGTATCGGAGCTAATCTATGGGCTTCGGATACCTTGAGGTCGAGGTTCCCCCCAACTTCTGACAGTCTGGATCTCCACTGGGGGGTCTCCACAAGGGTAATAGACACAACAAATCGCGTCTGGTGGCTTTTATCAATAACCAACTCTCTAGTTTATAACCTAACAACAAATTTTTTACACCCAGATTTCACAAGTCCTCTCAGATACAAAGAAGGTTCTGCAAAACATCTAGCTTCCATCACACCACCTAACACATCACATCAAAACACCTCACATCCACTACATCCCACCTCATTATTCACATCTTGTCATGTATAAATTATTAGTTTTGGAAAAAGAATAAAATTCATTTCACTGTCTGAATTAATACAGAGTGTGTTTATGGTCCCTGAACAAGTAAAAGTAACTAGAATCTTCTGATTCAACATTCAAAGATCAATCAGGTTGATATTTCATATTTATATGGAATCATCACATCTTATTGGTCACTATTAATTTGTAGTCTTTAATGCTACGTATGCATGTTTAGCATGTTGTTTGTGTAAATACAATTGGTTCTCAGCCAAGTGTGAGGCAGCTGTGATGAGAATCAGCTCCTCTAAATCTGAGACCATGGTCTTGATTCGGAAAAGGGTAGAATGCTTTCTCCGGGTCAGGGATGGGGTCCTGCCCCAAGTGGAGGAGTTTAAATATCTCTGGGTCTTGTTCACAAGTGAGGGAAAGCTGGAGTGCGAGATTGATAGGCGGATTGGTGCTGTGACTGCAGTGATGCAGATATTGTACCAGTCTGTCGTGGTGAAGAGAGAGCTGAGCCAGAAGGCGAAGCTCTCCATTTACCAGTCAATCTCCATTCCTACCCTCACCTATGGTCACAAACTTTGGGTAGTGACAGAAAGAACAAGATCGTGGATACAAACGGCCAGAATGAGTTTTAGCCGCAGGGTGTCTGGGCTCTCCCTTAGAGATAGGGGGAGAAGTCCAGTCATCCGGGAGGGGCTCGGAGTAGGCCCGCTGTTCCTCCACATCGAGAGGAGCACGTTGAGGTGGCTCAGGCATGTAATTAGGATGCCTTCTGGACATCTCCCTGGTGAGGTTTTCCGGGCATGTCCAACCTGGAGGCGGTGTGTAGTTTAAAATCCGCATTTTAAGCATAAATTGAAACCAAAGCTCAGAGAGGCGGAGTTTTGCTGCTGCGGCGTCCCAAAGGTGCGTTTTCATTGGTCGATTGCAGACAGGAATTGTAGGTTTGTAAGCAGTGCTTGAAGACTTTTTGAGGCTGATTTGGTCGTGAGACGGCTCCAAAAACTGCCGCAGAGCTGGTCACATTGTACGTTCACAGCATGGTGCACACATATGCAAATCACCCTCACGTTGACCATTTTTTTGGCACGGTTCTGCTCAGGAAGAGGGATTTGGCAAAGACGGCCAAAAGTCGCACAATGTGATCCCGGTCTAAAGGTAGACCCAGGACACAGTGGAGGGACTACATCTCTCACCTGGCCAGGGAACGCCTTGGGATTCCCCCGGAAGTGCTGGCTCAAGTGGCTGGGGAAAGGGAAGTCTGAGCCTCTCCACTTAGACTGCTGCCCCCGCAACCAGAGTCTGGATAAGCAGAAGAAAATGGATGGATGGAAATACAATTGGATCTCTGCATTGATTAACATCTCTGCAAAAAAAAAAGTTTCACAAGTACAGTGTTGTATTCTATTTGTGCCACACGAGGGTCTGTACCCACAAATGTTGTTTACTTTTCATAGTTAACAATTTAACATCAAGGGGAGGATCTGTTGCTGCCGCCTCTTGGCCAGATGGGCACTGTAAATGAGAATGAGTTCCCAATCGACTCATCTGGTTAAATAAAGGTTAAACAAAATATAAATAAATATTGAAAATACCGATTCTACATCATTTACATATTAGTCAATATTAGTCATCACCGATGCGGCCGCCCCTGCTTGTTACTACTGACAAACAGCACGCTCAGTCTGTTTTTGCAGCTTAGATGAATCTATTATTCGTTTTATCATTATTGCACAACTATGATAAATTGTTGCTGTGTTGTGGGGCATAACACATGATTGCCAGTGGAATAAAGATTGAAAATGGCTGAAAACTGCTTTCCTGCTTAGGAGGCACAGCCACGAGACCAAGTATCTCGCATTACAAAGTCTCACATCGACCAAACATCACCTTTCGGAGTATTTTCATTCTGGTAAGTTACAAATGGTGAATGTTTATTTACATTTTGTTTCTTTCCTTCAACCATGACATGCACACACAACACACTCACTTAGGCTACACACACATACCACTAAGCTAATGCGGGCATGCTGACACACAACACAACTTCTGCTACACTTCTTCTGTGGGATGACAATTTAGATTGTTTTACCAGAAAAAAGAGCAAATGAAACATTTACCTCTCATCGAGACATTTACATCCGCTCAAACAAGACAGCCAAAAATGTCCATTATGCAGAGCTGCGGCGGCAACAAGTTATCGTCGGGGCTCCGTTCTCGGGTCTTTCATATGGATCCAAAAATCGGTCCCCGGCGTCTTTATTTAACGTGTCCTTGCATATTCAGCATTCTTCTTGGGATTTTAACATGTTGTTTAACACTTCCCTTCACCCAAACCTGCTTCTTCTCTGCAACATACTGTTTGTTTTCATGGTTTGTTTATACTCGTAAGGCCATCAACATGTCTGCGCACATCACAGAATGCTTCACGTAATCACGTGTGATCCCAAGCCCTGTAACACAGAAAAAAATATCTAGTCCGGTAAAACTGTCAGTAACACATCAGTAAACAAAATGTACTCTCTGTCATTAACTCACACTTTTATAAGAAGTTGGTGTGTGGTGTTGCACCCAAATGGGTCCAAGCGGGAAAACATTCTCACTCACTGTTAGATCACTTTGTTCAGAGAAAAACCATTAAACGAGTCGAGTCCAGTGAAATTGGGTTAATACACAACACAAGATGTGTTTTCAGTAAATAAATCAAAATGTACTTTCTGTCACGAACTCACACTTTCATAAGTAGTTGGTGTGTGGTGTTGCATCTCTGCTGTAAAGCACATTGAGTTGCCATTGTATAGGAAATGTGCCATATAAATAAAGCTGTCTTGTCTTGTCTAAATGGGTCCGGGCTGAGAAAAACTCTTTCTGTTAGATCACTTTGTTCAGGGGGGAAAACCCCGTTCTTAACCTCGTCCTTCGTCTGTGGTCTTCCGCAAGGAGCAGTAACTCCGCTTGCAAAAACAAACAAGCAAAAAGCGCTTGGACAATTGATAAAGCGAGCGCAGCTCTGAGGACATCCATGCTGTCGGCTAGTGTAAACACAGGTCGCACACGTGATGTCAGCATTTTTTTGTCGCGGAAAGTGACGTTGCGGACCTTAAAACTCTGGTTTTGTCTGTCCACACGCAGACACCCAAAACTGAGAAAACGCAGATCTTCACTTTGGCCGGAGTTTTTAAAAAGATCAGTTTTCGTGTGGATGACAGGCCAAAACGTAGAAAAATATCTACGTTTTGGCAGATCCCCGGCTACGTGTGGACAGGACCTTAGCAACAGACATCTATTGCATCTTTAAATCTAGTATCCTTGAAGGTATGCTTCCTGTTTAGCATTACGTTAAAAGTGCCTCCTGCTGTACGGGCATGCCAATTACCCACAGGTTGCAACTAATGTTCTGCCTGAGACAAGTGGTGCAAAATAGGGCCTTGTGAAAAAAGAATGTGTAGCTTGAAAAGCAGCATTTGTGAGTTACATGAGCAGTTTTGTGCAGTTGCATTAACTCTTTTGTGTTTGTGGTAACTATAAGTCTGTGGGAAGATGTTAATACAAGTGTTTGGATTAGTTATTCTCCAAATGTGCTGGACTAAGTAAAGCAAAATTATTAGAGCAGGAATTCCATATTCTGTAACTTGCAGTAACCCTGCAATGAAGAATGTGTAACAGTAGTTTTGTGTCTGTGAGTGACAGTAAAATAGGCACAGGTTATTTTTTTATACAGAAGTACATGGATGTGTTTTACACCATTTGTTTCGCATTAACCAGGGCAAAACTGTAACATAGGATTTTTTTTATGTGTGACTCAACAAATACAATTTGTGTACTTGTACCAAATATTTTGAAGTTGTTGTTTTGTACCTGTGAAAGATAGGTTCTCTGGATTTTTCTCTATGATTACAAGTTCCCAGAGTCAAGAAACAAATTTTGCGCCATATATGTTGGATCAACTGGGGGAAAACTGTAACTGTGAGATTTTTTTGATGTGTGACTAAAAGAATACATTTTCTGTACTTGTACCTGAGATTTCTAATAGGTTGTTTTGTACCTGTGAAAGACAGGATTTTTCTTTGTTACTTCAAGTTCCTAGTGACAAAACACAAATGTTATTGCACCAAATATACCTCCATATATTTCTTTCCTCCTGAAGAAAGGTTTCACAGTTCACTTAACTTACATCCATTGTCCCTCTGCTTTTCTCCATGTCTGGTTCAATTATGTCAATTTGGTGTTGCACATTTATAGTCCTGGACATATTTTCGCACAAAACCAAAAACAACTTTTGACACCGTCTGAAAATATGCACTTTGATGGCATTTTAATGTGTTTTTAAAATTCAGACATCACGTGTGAAATCCATGACACATTTCAAACGAGATTAGAATGTAGCTTTCATAGCCCCTTTGATTTGCATTCATTTTTTTCATTATTCCAGGGACCCATCATCCAGAAGTAGATGGGCATGACTTATTCTGTCAGTGCTGCTCCTCAGGAATGTCAACTCACGATGCTCACCTCAACTGACTCAGTGATGTAGGAGGCAAATTTAATGCGACATGACCATTGAAACTGCAGTTGCTATCAAAAACATCAGATATGTATCAGAATCAATCTCACATGTGAGTCTTGTTTTCATTTTCATCTTTGTGTCTCCAGTCTTCTTGTTCAGTAATATTTCTGTTTAGCCACAGCTACACAACCTTGTTTGATAAGCATTTATTGATCAGTCATTCAAAAACACGTCGGTAGAGGCAATCAAATTATTTTACGTGTCTCATATAATTGTAACCTGCTTCATAAAATACCTAGAAATCAGGATCTTTTTCATAGCACATTTATCAGCACATATACCAAAGCAAAAAATAAAGAACACAGGTTTTCACATTAAATTGGTGTTCTGAGGACTCCAAATGTTTCAGCGAAACAAAAGCTGATTTAAAGTTGAAGGAAAAAAGTGCAGCTAAGATTTATTCAAGAACTTCCAGTTCCATGCATTTCTCTTTCTTCTCCTCCCGCAACACTTCATAATCGTTTAAAACATGCAGCCTTGTGTTGCAAGGTCTTTTGGATGTGGAGTGGTTGAATGCACCTGCAGGGTGAAGAGCGCCAGGTAAACGTTGTTGCCTGTGAGAGGGGAAGCGGACCTGCAGCTCCTCCCCATTTGCGGTAGTTTGAATGAACAACAAAATCCAAAGAGCAATAAAAAGCCTGCTGCTGTTGGCCGCATAAACTTCGAGTTGAATTCCCATCCTTTCATTGTGCAGTATCGTTTCACTATGCTTTGCAAGTTGCTCTCACTTCAGAAGCCTTCCCGTCTCCAGAGTGCTGCTTGTTTATGTTGTAATCTCGTTGGCCTCCTGTGAATATTCTGAAACCACATGTTTGACCTCATCTTGAACCTGAATGGCATCACTGTGCTGCTCATGAGTTTCATCTAATTTTTCCAAACTTTTGGTTTCATCAGCATGTTTTATTTTGTTCTCATCTCCACCTGAGATAAAATCATCTTCCGTGTCAGATCTTAGGTCAGATTGATGTAGACGTTCACTCTTCATTCTCACATCTGATTTCTCTACAGTTTCCTTCTCATCTGTGCTTTCAGCTGCTTTGTGATTCTCTAATTCTTTCTCATCAAGGCCCTCACTTTTTAAAATCCCACCCTGTTCCACGTCACCAGGTCCCAATGGACTCACATCTGCATTCTCAGACTTTCCAGCTGATGCTATTTGATTCTGCTGACTATCAGACATCTGGTTTCCCTCTTCATCTCCATTGTCTTTATGATCACTCTCTTCCTCGTTGCCCCCTCTCTTGCTTTTTGTACACTCATGCTCATCTTTCCCTGCTTCAGTCTCGTCTGATCCAGTGTCCTCAAATTCTGACAGCTCTATTTCCCTGGTGGTCTCTGTTATGATCTCCTCCACAAACTTGAACTGGGGCTCTGCTCGTCTGTACGTGGCTCCTGGTCGACTGAAGCAGGGGAGGCTGTACACAGGAGACTGGTGGTAGATGTGGGGCAAGGAGATGTTGGAGTCAGACCCCATGGAGAGCCGAGCCTCCTCACCACAGAGAAGTTTTCTGTGGGATGGAACACATTTTAAAGTTAAATTAACTGCAAATGACTAGGATTCTTAAATCTGCTGGTCCAGATGTTTGTCTTACCTGTAGGACAATATTTCCACATCCAGAGCCATCTTCACATTCAGAAGGTCCTGGTATTCCCGTAGGTAACCAGACATGTCAAATTTACAGTTGATAAGCGCATTTTCAAGTTCTTTAATTGTATTCTGGAACAATAAATAAAAAGACCAGATTAATACAGAGTTGTGTCAAAGCTGAGCAAACCAGAAATCATGTAACTGATCCACCTGGTAGTGGATGAGTTCCTCTTTATGGCGATCTTCCACATCATGAAGCTGCCTCTCCAGAGCTTCTCTGGTCCCTTTAGCGCAATCCAGCTCGACGCTTTTGGCCTGGAGGTTCCTCCTGTACTCCTGGATCTCCTGCTGGCTCAACTTCAGCGCCTCCCTTTTGGCCTCCGCGGACTCCGTTAATCTTGCAAACTGAGATCGGAAACTTTCTCCTCTCTCCCGGACCTCCGACATGGTGTGACCCTCTAGTTGTGTCCTGATCTCCCGGAGAGCCGCAGTGACGTCAGGGTTCTCAAATCCTTTGACGCTAACCTGCGCATCCTGGATTTGGTCAAACATTTCCGACACGTCGGTCTCGTGGTTTGTCTTCAGGAAGTGGATTTCATCCACCAGTGACTGCGCTCTCTGGTCCAGCTGTAGTTTGGCCTGATACGCTTCGCTGATGTCCTTCTTCAGAACCGCGATGCTGCTCTCTGCGTCTGATCTGGAGCGCGTCTCCTGCGCGTGTTGTTGCCGCAAACCGTAAAGCTCTTCCTCCAGATTCTGATGCTCCAAGTCTATCTGATGCTTCTGATGGGTGATATCCAGAACCAGCCGCCTCAGCCTTCGCAGCTCCGGTCCGTACTCCACCTCCAAACAAGATGCGGGTTTCGCTTTAGCTCTGAGCTCTTCGACCTCCTTCTCCAGAAGAAGGTTGTGGTGCTCCAGCTGGTGCACCTTCTCTATGAAACCCGCAAGACGATCATTCAAACCCCGCATCTGTTCTTTCTCACTCAACTTTCCAGATAACGGGTTGGTAGCACTCATATTTACTCCTTTTATTCCCAAGCCTCCTCGTGGAGACGCATCTTGAGCGGGCCTGTGCGGGAAGACATTCCTACTATCCATGCTGAGAATGATGTTGCGCGTCTGTGCGGGCATTTATACTCGGATCCATTTGCTCTGTGTGCAGAATGAAGCTGTCCGTGGTGCTGAAAACGTGCAGCGTCAGCTACTGCTCTAATGGGCTCCTCAGCCCCATCACACCCCCGCGTTTTGTCGCAGAAAGCAGTGACGTGGCTGACTGACTGTAAACGTCAATCCAACAATCATTAACTTCAGGAGCATTTCTAGCAATGCGTCAGGAGAACGCGGACTATGTTAGTGGAGCGTTTACACATTTCAATAAAAACTATGTCATAAGTGGATTTCTGTAAATTTATATTTCCTCCTGGAGATTCATTTTTTTCTCATCCTCTATAACCAAAATGATCGTGCTAATCATGCATTTTAATTGTCAGGTGCTGAACGCAGCTTAAGGATTGTGGCCCTGGAGGTCCAACATAACAGCCATGCACCTGTATGAAAAAGTTTTATTGATTATTTTTTTCCCTCCCAGTTAAATCTGTATTTTACTATTTAAATCTGCATTAAAATGTCACTTTTAAGTATTTTTGATATTTATGAGTAATAAATGAATAAAGTCAACATTAGTCAAGAGTTGGACGCTTTTATTTGATGGTAAAACGGAAAAACAAAACTCCGTCTCGTCAGAGCCATGCATTATTTCAACGTTTGATGGTGATGGTAAGCCCGTCTCCTACGGTGAGCATGCTCAGTTCAACTCTCTGGTCCTTGTGGATCTTCTTATTGAGGGCATCCAGACTCTGGGACTGGAGATCATTCAGGGCTGGATTTACAACTCTTCCACTCCACAGCACCTTTAAGGAGCATCAGAGCTGCGTCATCTTATCTAAAGTGAAAACACAAACTGGTAATATGAGGTTCACTTACGTTGTCAATAGCGACAATACCTCCTTTACGTATGAGCTGAAGGGACTTCTCATAATAAATGTCGTAGTTGAGTTTGTCGGCATCGATGAACACAAAGTCGTATGTTCCAACTTCTCCGGCTGCTATCAGCTCGTCTGATGGAAGAAAATAAATGAAAACAAAAACCTGAACAATTAAGAAAGGATACAGAGTACTTACCTAAGGTTTTTGCGGCCATTTGATGCTGTACATCTATTTTATTTTCAACTCCGGCCTAAAATAAAAGATACAATTGTATAAAGTGATTTGAGACATGGCTATTTTTAAAGAGAAAATGTGGCAAGCTGTAAATACTAGCTGATTCTATTGCTTTACTTTGCATTTTCAAGTGACACAGTTTCCTGAGCAGACACCTTTCAAATGTCCAGCCTGCAGGATTTTTAGACACATTGACAGTTGCAAGATGTACGGCGTGCTGCCTCATGCACAAACGGGCTCTGGCAGAGGCTACAATCAATAAAACAAACAAACAAAAAGATAATACCTAAATGCCACAAAAGTGGAGATTCTATTTTTCTAAATGTCATTTATCTCAAGTATAATAGAGGATTTAACACAAACCAGTGATCAGTCACAGATCTTACCTCTTTGAAAAAAGATCTAGCGATTTCCACGTATGAATCTTCTATTTCGCAAGCGACCACGCGTCCACCATCTGGCATGGCAAGAGCCATACTCAGAGCGTTGTATCCTGTGTACATCCCTGCATGATGAATACAGTTTAAATATTGTTTCCATTTCATGCATTCTTGTTTCTTTTAAGTTGCTAAAATATGAGATTGTTCCAAAAGAGGCTGAAAAGACGAGAATATTAAGGATTTCTACTGTATTCATTTAATGCTAAATACTTCAAATTTTAAAGTAAATGCCCACTATTTATTGGTGCTGAAATATGTAAATTAAATAAAGTGGCGGGAGACTCCGTTTTCTTTAATTTGTTATCAAACAAAGCAATAAATCCTGAAATCTACATCCGGTTGTATTGGTTACATAATGCAACACTCAAACCTTTCAAGGGGTTCTATAGATTGCAGATAAAGTGTTTTATTTTTTGTTTTTAAATTCTTGGTTTACCTATTTCAATAGCCTTTGTAGCATTAATGAGTCTAAGGAGATTTGCCATAAACTGGGCCTGCTCACAGGCCACCATCATCCTGTTCCAACGGTCTTCAAGGGTTCTCTGAAACGCAAACAAGAAAAGATGTTTTATTAGAAAACAAAACTTTAAATTTACTTTCTTTAGCATTTTTTTTATTTATTAGCTGTTGTCTGCCCTCTAGTGACCAAAACCCATACTGCTTCTACTCGGACATCAGCCACTGTGGTTTTACATTTCCTGTGCTAAAAATTATGGTTGAGTGTTAATCTGATCTCAGCATTAATATACTCCCATTTTAGAAATTAAACAGGAAATAATCCTTGAGTTTCTCTGAACTGATGTCCAAATAAACCAGAGAGATGTTCAATCCCTTACCCTCATTATAAGGGTTCAGCCATTTTCTTACCAGTCTGAGTTTGGTGAGGACTGGATGTTCCCTCAGCGAGTTATTCACTACGTACTGCAGCACAGGATCATCTCTTCCATGACTGTGACTCTTTCCAATAAAGGCCGACTTTCCAGCATCTGATCAACACAAAATAAACAGCAACATTATAGTTTCATTAAGATTTTTGGTGTTCTCACCTCATGTACCTCATACCTGTCAAGAACAGAGCAAGTCCGAAGCAGAATAGTATCTTTATGTCTGCAGCCATTGTGGTTTAGGGTTGAGTGAAGGAAAACCATCTGTTTACTTTGGTTAAACATTTATTTCTAACATTGATTTTTTTAACGTCACTCAATAACCTTGATTCTCTACTATTTAGTAAAGCTGCAGCTTATTTTCTGTGACTTTATCCCGTTTGCAACAGCTGACAATTTGGACAACCACACCTTAACAACGATACAGAAATCAGTTTTCTTGGATGATTTCTGTAAATAAGTAAAATCTCCTTTGGGGATTTGACTTTCCACTTGGTGAACTGTTTTTGTTTGTTTTTATCATCCTTTATCTCCAGCTGCGAGTAAAACAGGCACTCTGTTGCCAGTTTATCTTAAACTGCTCTTAGACTGTTGTACCCTGCAGCTCATTTCATATTTAGGACATTATTTTTATGACTCACACAAACCATTTTGATAAGTTCTGTTACATGCATTTTATTCAAATGTGCAAAAAAGCGATGAAAAATCAGGTGTCACATTGAGTGCAGTTTTTTTCATGTTTCTAAATAAAAAATTCACAATGACTGTTTTAAACTTAAAAAAAAAATCTAAAATTTGTGTTCATGCAAACTACATGTCTTCTTATTTACTGTCAAAATAAATTTGTTGGTGAACATTTTAAATTACAGCATTTTACTGTTGACCACAGAGGTTAAAGCAGGGGTGGGGAACCCTGGTCTTCCAGGGCCATTATCCTGCATGTTTTAGTTGTTTCCCTGCTCCAGCATTGGGGATTCAGATGTTGAATCACCTGTTCAGCAGCTCAAAAAGCTCCACAGAAGCCTGTTAATCACCTGCTGATTAATAACAAGTGAGATGAAGCAGAGAGACAACTTAAACATGCTGGTGGGACGAGGATTTCCCGCCCCTGCCTTAAAGGAATAAAACATGTTGTGCTGCTTTCAGCTATACTGCCACCCAGTGGCGGAATGGTGGAAAAGGTTCGTGTGCATGTTTTTTGAATTAATGGTGTTTGGTAAGATTAGAGTACTTGTTGTATTTTTTTTTTTTTTTTTTTTTTTTTTTTTTTTTTGTATTTTAAAACTTAACAAATAATCTAACAAATCCCAAAACCATAGTCTGGCAAGTTGTAAAAATTTACAAAATCCGGAAGTCCAAGATTGGAATGATAGTGGCTCAACCTGAAGAGCGATCTGTCTAGATAAAGCTCACAACGCAGGATCAGTCCATCTTAAACAAGCTCAGGTACAGAAATAGCCAACATGTAACTGAGTCCTTAGTGCTTTGTTTTTCTGCTCAGGAATGTGCATTTTGTGATTCTGCAGTAAACTATGTCTTTATTACCACACATGCATGAAACAATTAGTTCCCTAGTTCCTATATTACACCTGTAACGTCCAGCAATGGTCATTTTTTAGGTACAGTTTGACCATTCAACATCTGGTCAAGAAGCAGACACGAGACTGCATGTGTTCCCTTTAAATTGGCCTGACTTCATCTCATCAGCTGGATCTCAGAGTCTCTCTGCAGCTCTGAACACATGATAACGAATTGTCAACAATGATGTTCTCTCCTCAATGTCCAAGCTTCCCATATCATCCTACAGGATTCTTCATGCCTCTGAATAAGGAACACTGGCAGCTCGGATCAGTTGCTAAATCAAAGAATGATTTCCTAAATTAAATATGAACTTCTACAACCTATAAGCTAGATAATTATTAAACAAATGTTTGTTTATTGCTACTTATAATAATTATAATATAATGAAATGCTTTCATTAATCTGTGCTCAATGATTGAAGTTGGAAATGAATGTTATGTTATGATTACAGTGATTGAAATATGTTTCAGCATGTTAATGTGACAAGGTCATCACCATTTGCACTCACACAAGAACAAAGTAAGGTTAAGTTAAACGCGTGACACATAGATAGTCCTTTACCCAGATCAGAGAACATTAAAACTGGATCACTCTGGTGATTCATCAGTTCAGTTCAACTCAGCGGTTCAGTTCTGGAGAAAGCTTCAGACCGGCCATCTGAAGCAAAACCCTCTTTAACCATCAAAGCTTTTGACACGTCGTCAAAATCTTTTTGCACCTGCGAAGCTGATGCAGCAAACAGTTCCTGCAGAACAAGCTGATATTGTTTAGACTCCTTAAGAGTCCGAGACGTGCGGTTCCATCCATCTGTCGTGACCTGAGACATCTCTGGACTGAAGAGTCGGTGCCACGGTATTCTACAGCCCTTCGGTGCCAGAGGTCATCCGACCTCTCTGACCTTTAGATCCACCACGAGGGTCTCCGAGAACGGGTGAAGTAGACACGCAGATAGAGTCTGATGTGCTTTTGATTATAATCAACTTCATAGCTCAGCGCAAACCAAATTCTTTTACATCCAGAACTCAGCTCTCCTAGATGCGGAAGTTCTGATAACATCACATTCACACAAAGGTTCACACATCACATCTAGTTCCATCCATCACAGTAAATGTTAGTTAACTTGTCATGTTTTAATTGTTGGTAAAATAAATTCTTACTTTTATAAACCTGACTCTTTTCTGAATCAAAACGAAGTGTGTACAATCCCTGAATAAATAAATAATCCTAGAATCTTCTGATTAACACAGTAAAGACCAAGCAGGGTTGATATTCTACATTTAGATAGAGTATCACAGCTTAATGCTCATAAGTAGAGGTAATATATATATTGAGCTCTTAAAGCGTTCAATTTACCAAACCCTACACACTGAAGGTAAAAGAAAAAAGTGATGTAAGACATGATCAAACATTCTTTCACCATTCTTTTCCATTCTAAAAATAAAATATTGATGTCTATTGAATTTGTAAATGTCACGATGAGAGGTTTGGACCCAAAACACAGATACTCAGGATGACACGAGGCAGGAGTTGATATAAAGAAAATCCTTTTATTTTAGGATGAGTCCAAAATTAAAATAAATCCAAAAAGGCAGGGAGCCAAAAACCAAAGATCCAGGAACAGGAGAAAAAGCTCACTTAGAGCACAGACTGGGAACGAGACCGGAAACTTACACAGAACACCAAAAATACAGCTGACAACAACAATGGACCGACAAGACACTGAGGCCCTGTCCACATGTAGCCGGGGATCTGCCAAAACGTAGATATTTTTCTACGTTTTGGCCTGTCATCCACACGAAAACGGAGTTTTTTCACACGAAAACGGATCTTTTTAAAAACTCCGGCCAAAGTGAAGATCTGCGTTTTCTCCGTTTTGGGTGTCTGCGTGTGGACAGACAAATCCGGAGTTTTAAGGTCTGCAACGTCACTTTCCGCGACAAAAAAATGCTGACATCACGTGTGCGACCTGTGTTTACACTAGCCGGCATCATGGATGCCCTCAGAGCTGCGCTCGCTTTATCAATTGTCCAAGCACTTTATGCTTGTTTGTTTTTGCAAGCGGAATTACTGCTCCTTACGGAAGACCACAGACGAAGGACGAGGTTAAGAACGGGGGGAGTACTGCCGCCTACAGGTCTGGCATGTCCTTAGCAACGTATTTATCTGGGTACGTGTAGTCAGAGTTTTTTTTTAAACGAGGTGGTGTGGATGCAAGTTCTTGGAGGGGCAGATATTCGTTAAAAAAAACCCGGCTACGTGTGGACTAGGCCTGAGACAAGACAGGGCTTAAATAAACTGGGGCATAATGGGAGGCAGATGAGCTGCAGGTGTGTGGGGAGAGGACCAGGTGAAAGCAATACTTAATCAGGGAGGGAACTCACATGACCTAAGAAAGAACCTAAAAACAAGAAAAGCAACCACATAACTAATATTCTAAAGGGAAGGAGAACTACAAAGACTGGTGGGACAAAACATATAAAAGAGACTAATAAAATAAAAAGCTGAAACTATAAACACTCTAGAGGGATGACTGGCTGCAGAGGGGTGACTGGAGAAGACTAAAGGAACACAGGACCTGAGAGATATATTTGGAAGGCTGAAGACCAGGGGACAAATGAGGAACACAAAGAGACACATAAATGAGATGCAGACAAAGGACACATGAGGGCGCTATGAAACACAAAAGGAGAACCTGGAGTGGAAACTGGAGGGGCTGGGGAACAAAGGGACATAGAACATGACAGTAAAATAACTTGAGGCTGCATTGTGATGGAGTTTAGTCACCAGAAATTCATAGACTTAGAAGTGGTGTTTTCATGACAGCCTGTGGCTTTTACAACAGAAGTAGAGTTTAGTGTTTTATAGAGATTTACAAGAACAGATCACTTTCTTACAACCAAATGCAAAAACAACCTCACATGTAGTTTTATCCTTACAACCTAAAAAACAACAATTGTTGAGGTTGTTTGCTTGTAAGAGGTAAACACTCATGGATGTCGTTTTGACTTTAGAAGTGGTGGGGACACAACTGGCATGAGGACCGGGGGGGCTCTTTACAGTAAGAGTTCAAAAATACAAAAAGCATAAAACCACAGCCTAGAGGCTCGTTTATTTAATTAAAAAGGAATAACATGGATGCATGCATTTCATAACAAAATAGAGCCACAAAAGCAGAAAATAAGTATAAAAGATTTAAAAACAAACTAATAAATATATTGACAAGTTGTAAACAGGAATATTCTATTAAAAAGTTAGAGTATTACAAACATGAATGAAGCAGTGGATGAATTCAACAAATTCTTTGTAAACATAGGACCTAAATTGAAGGAAAAAAAAACAGATTATGGTGAAAGAAATAAAAATTCAGCTTTTTTTAAGAACTGAGAAGGCGAATTACGGTAGTAAGTGATCTGAAGAATAAAACCAGTACAGACTGGAGTGATATTGATATACACTGAAAAGTGTTATTGAGGGTTTAGTAAACCATTAACACACATTTGTAATC